TTTTTTGCCCCACTGTATATGCACCGACATGTCTCGTTAATGCTGCACTCAGACCCGTGCAAAGCAGGGAGATTTCTTTGATCCCAAAAATGAGGTGAAAAAAAAAGATCAGCTGTTTCTTATTTTAAACATGGTTACGTTTCCAGAATTTCATAACTGGTGCATTCCCAGTCAAAATGATTCCATATATTGTGGGAAGTGTGTTTTCCTTTGTTTTTGGCTCTGGGACCATTGGGTAACTGTTTTATGGGTTAATTGTCAAACAAGGGCTTCTACTAACACTACTTCTCCTGATCTATAAATCTGTCCCATAACTTTGATCATTTGATTATAAAAGTCAGAAAATTACCTAGAAAACTTAAATTACAGCTCTTGGTAAGGTAGAAACTGACACTTTCGTCATTACAATGATCAATTTATCAGAACTATTTTTCTTTCTCTTGGTCTTTAAGTGTTAAATCCTACATGCATGAGCTAAAATGATCCCGGACAAACTGGCGCTCCTCGTCGGGCCCGTCCACACCAGGTCTGCTGTGTGCAAACTGTGGAACAGCACTGCAGCCGGTGAATGACTTCTATCAGAGTTGTGTTTATGTTTGTGAAGACGGGAGGAAGTGCCCCTCGCAGGTCTGGTCGCTGTGAGAGATTACTAAATTTATATTAAAATTGGTTTTAATATCAAATGCTAAAGAAATTTAGCATTTGGACAGTTCTGCCTTTTTTTTTTTTTCTTTTTTTCTCCGTGGGAAACCTCACCAAAATATTTCACCTGAAGAGGTGACCGTGCACGTAAACATGACTGATCTGTGTACAGTAAAAGCAGCAATGGTTATGTGCAAGTCTGCAGCTTGCAGGGCTGCAGCTGAGCACAGCTTGGAGTAATTGTTTTGTCTGTAAAATGTCAGATCATAGAAATGCCTCTAAGGTTCTTATTGAAGAACTAAATTACCTTTATTAATTAACTCTGTCCATCAGCGCACACGTGGTGCAGGACAAAACAAGTCTATCAGACTGTTGAAGGGCCCGTTCAGTAAAAACCACAGTGCATTATTGGACTGGGTTTGTTCTCCCTCCCTGTTACTGACCTCCACAGTGTCAGATTACTGAAGGTTAGTGTGTGTATGAACCACCTCATCCCACCAACCCCGCCTCGCTCCTCCCCCTGCTCTGACGAGGAGGGCAGCCATCACGCTGCTCAGTGTGGAAGACCTGTGACCGCTCTAAGTCGTGTTGTGATGCTGCAGTGATGGAAACACTGTTTCAGTTGGTTGTGTTTGTGTTCCAGGGAGCCAGAGTTGTTGTCTCCCGCTCCTTCGCTGACTTCACACCCCAGGCGACCTTTGACATCAAGGTGGGCACAAACGAGAATCACTAATGGCAATCGCAGACTGAAGGAAGGGGATTTTTACCCCATAAAGCTGCGATCAGTTAAACATCTTAGTCGATACCGAATGTAGCTCAGAAGAATGTAACATGAAGATGGCAAGATGAAACTTATCAGGGTTAATGCACAAACAGTCCTTTCAGATAAAATATCATGGCTATATTTGTAAAGTTGATTCTGCATCAGCAATAGTTTCAGTGTCGTGATCATCAGCACGAGTCCACTCAGGGATCTGTATTCTGGCCTGAAAGACTACAGGAGGCTCAGCACTGTTGATGGCTTCAGCAGTAAATTAATAAATGTGCTAATCTTTGGTTCAGGTCTGGATTTGTGTAGTTTATTAAAACTTCACTCAATTGTGGACCAGAAATGTAAAATCTTTGGTTTGGTCTTCTTCTCCAGTTTGTG